AAAGAATTGGCCAGGGAAAACCTTATGAATAGCAAAGAAACACTGTTTGGGGGACATGATTCAATCCATAACATGTATCAGCATCATTGCTGAACCACCACATCAGTCCCTTGCCTCCATGTTCTTTGACAAAAAGAATTCCTAATGTGTTTAAGCCACTGTTCATTTTTTGTTACTTATACCAAACTTAAACCCACTGCCATTGAGTCAATTCTGATTCATAGCAACACCAATTGGGTTTCCAAGGCTGTAAATCTTTGCAGAAATAGATTTTCTTATTTTCTGTCCACAGAGCAGCTGGTGGATTTGAACCATCAACCTTCTGGTTAGCATTCAAATGTCTTACCCACTATGTCACCAGAGCACCTTATAGCTGAGTGAATTTCTAACTGATATACCTCCTTATTCTTGATACTCTTCTAAACAAGAAGGACCAAAGGAAGAAGAAAAGGAGAGGTAAAGGCTAGAGAAAGAAAGGTGCATATTAATTTTATTGTCTCTTAAGATGTAAATTCCCAAAGAGCAGAAATCATGACTAGCATATTCTATACAGCACCTAGATTATTGAGTTGAATAATATATTGTTTTGGTTACCTAGTGCTACTGCTGTCTACTTTCAAGTGGTGCCTACATATCATGCAGAATGATCTGTAAACCAGGGATAAGTTTTCTCTTCCTCAGTCAACTGATCATAAGGAACTCCCCATGAGACCATAGGTGCAGACTGGGAGAGGGAAGGTAATGTGACTGGAATGGAGACCATAGGCATTAGAGCCACTTCCTCATGAAACTTCCTTGTGCCTCCAGGTCCTGCTTGAGCCCGATCTCTTATATACCACTTCTATTTAATGATGGAGTGCTGCTGTGCATGTCCAACTTTATGACTCTGTGGGTCAGACAATACCCAGTTCATGATGGGCAGCTGGATGTAGTATTCCCCATGATGAGACTGGTAATCAGCTCCATGGTGGAACTTACTGTGAGCAGCTGAGTAGCTGCCTTAGGGATGTGGTCTGCTTCCTGTATATAAGGACAAGCTTTGGGGAACAGTCTCTAGTTTATAATACACTTGAACCCTGCATGTAGCCGTGTCATTGTTCAGTAGTCTGCCATGTTCTGCTGATCTTGAAACTTTCAATGGACTTGAATTAATGGCCTGCCATGTGGTTTGGTAACATCAGGACCATGTCTTTTTACTTATCAACCTTGGGCTTGTCTTCCTCAGCAGCCAGCAGCTGAGTGAAGAAAAGTCTCCAGCTTCAGTGGGCAGGAAGCAGGAGGCAGAGCTGAAGCCCAAGGTTGAGAGGTTTTCACCCAGCCCCTAGAGCCTGGCACTTTGAACTCGGACTTAAAGCCTCCAAACTGTAAGATAATAAACTCTTGTTCCTTCAAGGCATCCCATTTGTGGTATATTCTTGTCAGAGCAGCACTAGGTAACCATAACATATATTCAGCATAACTGAATACAAGTCATTGTAAATACAATAATCCTAAACCCAAACCCACTGCCACCGAATCAATTCCAACTCATAGCGAACCCCATTAGGTTTCTCAGGTGGTCAATCTTTATGGAAGTAGATTGCCCTGTCTTCCTTCTGTGGAGTGGCTGGTGGGTTTGAACTCAATCTTCTGGTTAGCAGTCAAATGCTTTAGGTACTACACCACCAGAGCTCCTTAAATCATACAACAACAAGATGCCTTAAAAAAGTCTAAGTTCCCATATAGGGTGGATGGAAGGTGCTTTTTTATTAAATGAAATTGCCATTATAAGATAAGAAATAAATCAGGTTTTCCACACACACACCAAGTAGTAATCATAGTGGCTAACATATTTGAGTAGATATTATGTGCCAGGTTCTGTTAAATTCTGCACCAAAACAAAACCAAACTCACTGCCATTGAGTCGATTCTGACCCTCATATGGTTCAGCTGGTGGGTTTGAATCACTGACCTTCTAGTTAGCAACCAAATGTCTTACCCACTGCACCACTGGAGCTCCTTTATTCTGTACAGCAGTGACTCTATCATATATATATATATATAGATAGATATATACCCAAAACCCACTCCCATTGAGTCGATTCCAACTCACTATAGAGTTTCCAAGGCTATACATCTTTATGGAAGCAGACTGCCTCATCTTTCTCCTGCAGAGCAGCTGGTGGATTCGAACCACCAATCTTCTGGTTAGCAGCCAA